AGAAATATTAGACAAATATTGCTTGCATGCTTCTATTCTGTGAATGGATGTCCCCAGAGGAGTGCGACAGAATTCCAAGAACTTGGTAATTTTCAACCCAGAAATAGAAGCTATGGTGATGCTAGCATTAGTCATCCTTTTCAAATCAAAGGAGTAGAGAACGATTGAGGAGTAATAATTCTTTCGTTCAATTGCCCGTGTTCCCTCTCACATACGAGCTTGTTCGGGAAGGACTTCATATTTACGAGTTTATTGTCGGGGCTTTCTCACTCAATCAATTTGTGTGGGTATTTGTTGATAGGCTCACATTTTTGTAAGAAAAGCTTGCATAGCATTGACGTCAATCGCTCACTCGTCCAGCAACATTGGGCTATTTCTTTAGTACGACTTTGATGCAATGTTGAACTTTGCCGTCGTCATGACGCAATGGAATTGCTCTTCTTTTTCAATGTTATGAGGTGAAGCACGTCGTAAAGTATCGAGATGCTCCGCTGATGTCTGTTACTCTTGTGCAGTCGGATAGCAGCTGCATTCCCCTCCTCATCTTCGACAAAAATCATAATTAGTGCGGTTGTTCTTTTTTTTGGTCGATTTGCGTCCTGTGCATTTCAAGTGGACTTGCTTGAAATCACCGTCATTGCTGATGGTTTTCGCGGACTGCGACGAAAAACAGTTCAAGCAATAGAATCATAAATAGCAGGTTCTTGAATGTGCCTGATTCAGTGATTTTTTCTTCCTGCTGGGATCTATGACGCGAAACCAAGGCCCCTGGTAACATCGTTTACATTGCGAGCCTCAAGGGATCGTAAGTCCACGCGAAAAATCCGTATTGCCGTTTTTTCGTTCATCTTAGTTTATTTGAAACTAAGCTTCTTCGCAGTTGCATTTACTTTGAAATCAGCTCGTCATAGTCAACAATGTTGCTTTCAAAATCATGCACACAAAGTTCAAAGGGATATTCGGTCCTGAGAAGATAGGGGATGGGACCGATGGTTGAGTTGATCACATGCAAGTGTTTGCCCAGGTGGCCATCAATTCCAGTACGCGGCATATTCTGATCAATTGGTAACCTTTGATTCCCTCCTGTTCAATTCTCTAGAACAAATGCTATACAACTATTCAACGATACGTCAGGATAGAAACTCGTTCAAGATGGCTCGACAGAAATTCCCACTTTTGTTCCCGCTTTCGGCTGTATGTTTTTCACTAACCGGTCTTGGCTGCAGTAGCAAGCTGCAGTGTTATTTTCTATGAGAAATTCTAGTCTTCCCTTACACATCCTGTGACTGCACGGTGCGGCGAACTCAGCATGTCATGCGCGTGCAGAATACCACACCCACCGATTTCCCACACCACGAATGGCAGCGTGCAATGTACGTGATCGGCAGGGAATGGGGCGATAGGTGCACAGGCGGGATACGGACCACCGCATCGGCGAGGACCGGCTACGGGAAGACCTGTTGCCAGCTTGTTTTACATTTTACCGAAAGTTGGTTCACTTTCTTTTCACACCGGGAGACGAGCAGTAGGAACGGTTTCGTAACCGCCGCACGCGGCTGTCGCGGACGATTTGCCTCGTTATAGCAATTCTAGCGTTCTTCATACAGCTCAGACGTTATGCAATTATTACTTTAGGCATGATTCCACTGATAGTTCTTTTGTTCCTCTATTTCTTACTTGCTGCTGCATTCTGCTACAGTCCTTCGCGCGCGGCGTCTCTCGCGCCGCGACGCGACAATTTCGTTTCTATTGCACCACATCCTTTTCACACCATGCCGGGCGTCGGTCTTGTGATTTGCAGTCTGCCGTGCAGGAGATGGAATAGGCTATTAAGGAACACAGAGCTTCATCTCATCGAGGGTAAACAAGATGTTACTGAGCATCACTTGTCATGGGAAATGGAAATATGTACGTATCAGTTATTTAGTTGTATTACACAGGAAATGGAAGGTGCTGAATTCAGCAGGACATGCTGTGTACAGATGTTCAAAAGTCCACAGCCGCAGAACTCCTTCAGAGCATGCGCATTGTAGACCAGGATCGTTTGTCGTTCCCAAGCTACATTGTTGCCAGAAGGAGTCATTCACTGTGCTCTGGCTCTATTTTGAACCCTCCAAAGTTGTTCTGGCAGTGCTCCACTCGCTGTTGACATTAAAGGCATCGCTAGAAAAATTGAATCTCTCATTGTTGCTATGAATGTCAGCCATTTCTATTTAAATATAACTCGAGCTCTTTGTAAGAATAGGTTGTATGGCGATTTCCACCTCTCAAGCGACTGTGTCCCCATAAAGTGGTCTTAGTGGAGTTCAGAAGAAGCATTTTGATATATGTTCATATATTACTAATTATGCTATCCATCATAATAGAATTCTGTGCAATCGAGCTGACCGAAATGGAGCTTTTCTAAACATTGGAGCGTCGTCTTCTAGAGGACGACAAGTTTAGTGGTATAATCGAATTCAAAGGATTTCTTTTGACCGACTTGTAGCAAAAAGCGATGAAAAAGGCGGAATTCGCGACGGTTACTGTATCTTCATCGTCATGGTTGATAGATGAATGCGTGATCTGTCTGTTGAATTGCTGATCCAAGATCGATTGGTCATTGAAAAACGATTTTTCCCTTCAAAGGTGTGGGAAAAAAGTATTTTCAGTGATTTCGCTGTAAGCGCATGTTTGCCTTTATAATTGGTTAACCTGTCGAATCAGACTTTCTGACAGTCGGACCTTTGATGTTAATCGGATCATCGAATTATGAAGTGAAGTGCAATAATCCGTCATATATGTAGGGCTGGAGTGGTGGCAGTCGATGCCTTCCATTTCTGTCCTTTGCCTTTGTTGAAACCTCAGCAGTGGAATACGAATCGAAAGTTTTTCTAACAAAATTCCAATGCGGTCTGGCAGTTATGTAAATTTCCCTTTCTCTAACATTTCACTGATGATATAATTTGCCCAAAGGCGATCAATCATTCATTTCATTCCATTCCTAAAAGCTGAGACTGAGCTATTGCTTCACTCTGCATATTTTTTCAGAGATACCTCATTCGTGAAGTCCAATTGTTGTTGTTGTTCGTCGTGTTTACTCGACGATTTTTCTTTCACCGATAAATTCAGTCTCGATTCTGTACCTTTCCGATATTCAGCACCTCGAAGTAGCTGATTACTCCAACATTCTTTTGTAAGGCCTGAGGCTTTCTGTAAATAAGAAAGCGGACAGATGGTCAATAGCGTCACAAGACAAGGCTATAAAATTTTTGCGTGCGATTGTTTCCCTTGTAGGATTAGAATATGTGGCAAACTGGACTGATGAGAATCTTTAGGTTGAATGGGGTGATAATGCTTACTGCAGTCATAAGGAAGTTTCCTCTATTTCATTGTAGTCAGATCAAGGAGGGAGCAGCTTAAAAAACTTCCCACCATTTCAACACTCTGCCGCTTTGTGCTCTCCATATAGTTGGACTTGATCATCAAGGTGACCTTTGTTAGGAAGTATCACTCTTTGAGCGATGAGTGGACCTTGTATGCCTTATCAATATCAAATAAAATTAAGGTTCATCGGTTCAGTGATCTCATAGCACTCGTGATCTCATGCTCTAATTACGGCCTGACTGGAATTTCATTTCGTTGACTGCTCTGAAATTCTTGGAATTCCGCACTTGAGCATTCTTAATGACTCAAATTAAACAAACTTTTCTATCTAGACTTGCTCTAGCTTCTTCAAAATCATAGTCAGTAAGAGTTGCGACTATCAGAGAATCATTCCGAAATGGAAATGACTGGCTGACTCCTCTCACTTCTATCATTCTGTCGTTTCACATAACCATTCGAAAGGAACTCAAAAGGGAGCGCAGGGTAGCGAAGTGCTTTCAGTTCAAAGGGCATTCTTCACACCTCTAGTGATCCTGCTGTATAATGTTTTGACATTAAAAAGGGCCTCGAAAACTACGGAACTCTGAAGGTGACATTGTGAGGAGGAGAGTAGGCTTCTTATGTGCAACTTCACTGAGGGGAAGCTTCTACTGTTTCATATTTATGTGATCAGTCTATTGTACATAATTCGGAAACTTTGACTACGAGTCTTCATAAACAAGATTGGCAGAATACTGACTGAGGGACAAGCACGTAAGCAGGAAGGGTGTCGAGGGAGGTTCTTCACCTAAGTCACCCGGTCACGAGACTTTGAGAATGAAGTTCCTCGAAAAAAGCAGACGGTGTTATGGGAAACGGTTGCCGATTTGAGGGGAATCTTTGGCCCCGTTGAGGCGTAGGCAGGTACCCTGAACAATCGGGGCATTCCTACTTTGCATGCGAGAGTACTTCGATGACAACAACCTTACGTAATCGAACTCACCTTTCTACGCTTTCCCGAAAAGGTCACCATCGACATAAATTGAAGGCCCGGGCAGAGTTCTACCATTTCACGAGAGTGAAGGTCGATGGCCGGCAATCGCACCACCTTCGCTTCGCAGATCTTATAACACCAACCAGCGAGCAAGTGAAGCGCATCCAGGCTGCATTTGGTGCACCCCTTGAAACATCGCTTTGCTATAGTTATTTATAAACCTTGCAGTTTCTATTTACCATATATTTTGGGCACTTTACAAGGGAGAGATCGAACTGATGTTGTCAACAGTTTTCAGAACTTTTGAATAAGTTTCTGAGATCATTCTCTTACTTTTTCTTAGCTCATATTATTCGTCATCTTATGGTTCGGTGTTAATTCCCTTCATTGCTAGATTAATGAGGGTTATTTCAGAAGTAGGATCTACCCAGAGAATGTGTCTCCTGAGCTTTGCATAGGAGGTACCGGAAAACACTAGTAATGTACTAATTCATGGCTTAATTGGAGTTGCCTTGACTCTGCTAGTGACATCAATAGCCAGTTACCGTCGTTTCCTTTCTTTTCTCATTGTTGTTATTTACTCTGATATTTTCGGATTCCTTCCGCTTACTTGGTCGGGATTTCTTTAAGACCCGTAAAATGCAGGGCGATTGCAGATGCGATGGTAATCCCCATGATACCGCTGCGATGTTCGGATTGTGGAAAAGAAGTACCGGCACCAATCAATAAATCGATACCGACAGAAAACCATCTGCGAGAGCCACGTAAATTGGATGCGAATTTGAGCGATGTGGTCGAGTTCTGGTGGTGTCGCGATTGCGCCCAAGGCGTATGCAAGTAAGAGTTTTTTTTTTCAAAATGGGAATTTTCATACTATGTTCCTTCTCGAATGGACAGAGGCTAACGGTAGTGGATTCAGAAACTTGATAAAGCTAAGCTTCAACATGCATTGTTTGGGTTTCTTTTTAGGAACGCTCGCGTTTTTTAATCTCAAACAAAAGGTAAAGCGGTGTTTTCTTCTCTTACCGCTTCGATGTCATCCTTTTATGCGCGTTCTTACTGAAACATAGCTCTCAGTAAATTTCCTATACAAAACTGTCAGCCGTAATCACCATATCAGACAGACAGTTCTGTTCATGGTCAAAAATAAGTGAGTTTAGGAGGCTAGGCTACAAGCGCATAGAGGCCGTATCGTAGGTATCTTTCAACGTCTTTGTTAGGTCCAAGATACTTCCCTGAAGGCCCTTGTTTCTATTTGTATAAAAGCCCAATATTAAGGGGCTGAGGTAGCTATTGAAATCTCAGAGTTGGCGTCCATACTTGGAATACCTACGTGTTTGCACTTTACTACTTCGATTTCCCCTATATCATACCAATTCGGGCCTTGTCCTTTCAGTGGTTGGGTTGAACTATTGCTGAAAAAGAAGGCTCGAATTTCGGCATAGTTGTAGAACAATAAATAGAGTATCTTTATTTTTTTAGAAACAAAAGGATAGATACGTAAAAGTTTATTAGCTTTTCATAGATTCCTATTCGCCAGCGGGTTGAAACAATGAGCTTCCGATCTATCAGAATTTTTCCAGTAGAGAAAGCTCCGTCACTGGAAACGACCGCACGATTCCAAATCCAAAGCTCAATGAAAAGCGCCTCTGTACAGGTGACCGTGAGAGTGAGTAAGGGCCGTCTTCTCACTCAGGGTAGTCATCCCAGGCAATTTTGCATCGGCTCTTGGAAGTGAACAAGTGTGTACGATGATTTCCACAGGCATACCCAGATGAACTTCGAGTACAAACGGGTCCTCGCTTAACTTTCTCTATGATATCCCATCGTTGATTCAATATGATCTCCATACAATGCAAAAAGTGAGCAAAGTTCTTAGAATCACCGAGAAGTATAACAAAATACTGTGTGATGATGGCTTTTAGACTAGTCTTGACACCATCACGAGGCAGGATGTCCAGTAGATGGCATTGAAGGCTAAAAAACCTAATGGCACACAAAATCGAGCATAATAGTCGATTTTCGCAGGCAGGTAGTCGGGTTTCGTGAAATAGCGCCGCAACCGGTCACGGAACGACGGTTCATAGTCTTGATACTGAAAAGAGCTAAATAGTTGTAGCAAATGGCATTTTTTTCTGGTTACCATATGTACAACCTACCAGATGACAAGTGCAAGGAGGTTGGTATTGTTCTCTTTCGACGAGTTCCATTTTGGCTCGTCGCTTTTGAGCTTTTCGAGCAGCTCTGCTTTTGGCCTGCTCTGTTTGTCGTTGGCTGTCTTGATAAGAGACGAACGCGTACTCAAGCAACGCTCCAAAGACGAATGTTTGACAGGCTGAAGTTAATTGCTTTTGAGACGGTACCAGCTGAACCCAGACGGAAAAAGCAGGGCAATCTGTGACACTCACCTCCAAGCCACACATCTACCACCTTCACGTAGCTCACTGGGGGCAGTTTAGCATTGATGGCTGCTTGCTGAAAAATAGCCACTGAACAATTGTCCGTCATATCTATCAGTACTAGGGTTCCGTTTGATTACCATGGTGGTCATGGTCAACAGGGTGGTGACACCCAAAGCCACTCGGCCGGCCGTTGAATGCATATCGATCCAAAACGAAACCCATGAAACGATCACTATCATCGTTGTGGGACCGTACAACTGGACCAGGTAGTAACTAAATACTGATTTTTGTATGGGCTAACAAATCAAGAATCTTTGTGATTTACCTGAACTGTCTTTTTAGGGTGAGCTGCATCCTCAGACAGGCGTACGACCCTGAAAATCACCGATTAATTTACTTCGATATACTCAGAAGTTGCAGCTGCCTAGTTGGAGTGACAGGGTTTTTGGGAAGCTTTCGGGTATGAGAGTCGGCTACCTTAGTGCTGCCTTCTTCTAGGCGTCATTCAATCTGTTATGGGTGTAAGAAGCCAATTCTTGAGGTAATGAAGTGAACTTACCAGTATTGGTATGGCTAGTACAGTCGTCATTGGTGGTGATATTCGTGAGCTGGAAGTTAGGCAAGTCACTTCCTACACCGGGTTTGAGCTGCACAGGAGCCAGGGGATCCCATTCGTAGACAATGTCCTAAAAGGGAATCGGAGCTTGAATTAAAAAGAACGGAAGAAATGGGATTCGGTGGGATTTTCTGACCTTCATCGTATGGGCATAGCTGACGAGATCAAAGTCACAGAATTGCAAATCCAAGGGATAGAGTTGTAGTTGCATGTGACAGGAGCTGGTGATGCTAATTCGGCTACTGTACAGCACCTGGAATCGTATTACTGAACGATGTATTGCGTCAGTCGGTATAGTTTAAGGTATGCAAAGGGTCACCTTTCCATCTGGATAAATTCGTAGGAACATGTTGTCCGTGTCGATGAGATGCCGGTGTGCTGCTTTTTCAGTCTGAAAAGAATAGATGTATAAACAATCCCTCTGAGTTAAAACGGATAACCGTACCGGGAAAAAGGTATCCGGAATCCAGAGGTTGCTTTTGATGTGTGGTACTGTGAGGAATTTCGGAGGGTTATGGTAGCCGAGGTGAGCGTACGCCAGACGCGAGTCAAGCCATTGCTCCCGAAATGTTAGTTGCATACTGTACTCCTTAAAATCAGACGGATTTACATGTTTTTATATTTGACATTAAAATGAAATGTTAGCCAACCATGTTGACGACGTCAATTTTTGATAACATCCTGATCATGATGTTGACCCGAACTGTCACTGGTCCCATTGGATCTGAACGATATCTGCATTAAATCAAGTCAGTTATTGATTTCCTTCACTGGCGAGTTGATGGAAGTTTTGGGAAGGTTTCTTGCTACGCGAGAGATCAAGAAAGGCTTGAGAGCTCGAAATGGCCACCGTTTGACGGGATAGGGTTGAACATTCGTGGGCACATAGGGCACATCATCACAATTGCAGTTAAGGGGGTGTTGGAGCGCTCTACAAAAAGCTTCTCCTGGGCGATTTCGTCTAGAATAGAAATTTCGGAAAAAAAATGCCCGGGAACAACTTTTCGAAGGACGGGTTCGCACTCCGTCAAAACATCATGAGAAGCTCTTCCAAAGCTAATTTGGTGAGTAACATTTTGAAGGGAAATCCTAATCGAGGTCAAGAAAGTGTAGAGGTCTTGGCAAAAACATTTCGGCACATAAGAATTTCCTACCTGAATAGTTGGAAGGTGGCGGTCGAACACGCATATCGTAGTTGGACAGCAGTTCGTTGAGAATCTCCTGTTCCTGAGTGCCACCAGTGGATCGCCGCGAAACCTGGGACGAACCTGCCACTGCGACCACGGCCGCTACAGCGACCATTATATACTGTGGCATTCCAAATCTGAACCCACACTTGTGTGAAATGTTTCCCAGTCATTAAAAGCAGACAAAATGGAGGCTTCGTCAGCAGTGAGGATCGGTGTTGTTGCTGTTTTTGCATTTGGACGGAAAAGAACAATCAGAGACTTCTAGAATGGAAGACAAAGAAGCATTGAATGCAAATTCCAAGAGGAGCTAGAACGAGAGAAGTAGTGGCGTTTAATTATTCGCTCGATTCCTCGTGACAAGTCAACAAAGGAATGATCGTCCATCGTTTAAGTGAGTTAGAAAGGCTTATTCCCATGATGTCGACTAGCAAGTACGTGCAGAATCCGTAAATATTCTCCCCTTCGTCTCTAAACGTCCTTCGGGTGTCAATTTAGCCCTTTAATTATGCTCCCGAAGAAAATCGCTGACACTTTCGACAAGTCAGCGCTCACTCAAGCTCTACTTGAGCTTATAAGCTTTGCCTTTTGCCAACCACGTAACACATCTTAAAAAGTTGATTGCTGTCATTCCATACAGTAAATCCAGAATACTAAGTCGAGATAGTAGTTAGTGATAATTGGATGTTTTTGGTGATTTTCTCCCATGTGTTTTTTCGAAGTTAATAATTATCGATTCCACAAGCAAACAGCACCATTAGACAAAGCTCGTGATGGAATGGAAAGGCATGAGAAAAAAGTATGAGCCTACCGTAGTTTCATTCGCTATGTGAACTACCAGCACTCACCGAACTACGTGGTATAAGTAACTCTTCAGATGTAATGCTCAGATCACATTAGGATGGCTTCCTAGTCATTATGTGAGTGCGCAGTCTCGTGGTAGACTTCAGTAGTAGCTTCTCGACATCGCTCAGACAAGTGTTCATGTAGGTTGGGGCAACTCTGCCGGCTGATTCCTCGTAACGAGGTTCACGCCTTTTTATGTCAACGGCAAGAACCTTGACAACGTTCCTGCTGCTGCTCCGTTTCCATGTGAAACGGGCTCCAGTGATTTTGTGTGCCACATGGTGAGCACAGCAACTGCACTCGAATAAGTTCGTAGTGCTTCCTTTGAGCTTATCGTAGGACCACTTGTAATTGTGCAACGATAGTTCAGAAAATTCAGTCACCACCCAAAAAGCTAGAGGGAATGGGATAGGACGGTTACTACATATACATGAAGTAGTTGAAGCAATATTCGACTTTCATGATACTCTTATGAAGCCTTGCCTTTTGGGGCTTGGCTACCTATTTATTCACCAACCCTGGTCCCTCTGTACTTTACGATCTTTTTTTTTCTACAAGCATTTTAGTTACTATTCTTTTATTTCGCTTGAAAAGGTCGATCTTGAGCCATGAGCCTTTCCAGCTTCCAGTCCCTTTTGTCGCTACCATGTTCCCCGTAATGCGGATGTGAAGGGAGCAAAAGTGAATGTGGGAGCGACAGAAGCATTCGAACTCGAACAAAGAGGAAACCAGGAAAAAACAGGCGATGAACGGGTGTGAAACTAAGGAGCAGGAATAACGAGGACTAGGGATGGTGAAAAGAAGACAGAGAAAACGTTGAAAATGGGAAAACGAGAAAAGATCGAAAATCTAGCCGCGTTTTAGGTGCATAAGATTGTGAGTTAGAAGAGATGTTTTTCAGAGGGCGAGGAATAATTTCTCCTCTTTGTGGGTAGCTCATAGGAAAGAAGGAGCGAAGATAACATTTCAAATGATTGTTTTCGACTGCCACCGTTTGTCAGAAGAAATACGTGAGACAAATGCTTCGGAAATTATGATCGATTTTCTTGTGACAACTATGCGAACAAAGTACGTAGTCAGGCCAACCACCAGGTCCACTCCCTAGCGAACGGGAACTGCTCAATATAGCGCAAAGCTTTGGTTTTACTACTTTAAGAATTTGTTCCTCGTTAGTGCTCCTCGCAAATTGTTTGCTTTACGAAAAATACTCTATTTGTTCTGTGAGACGGTGCTTCTGTTTGCGGAAAAGTCCGTGGCGATAACTAGGAAAGTATCTTAGTGACAGATGTTTGCAGAAACTGGGCTTCATCCGGATATACTCAAAGGGAGTGACCGCGATAGTAAGAGGAAGGCAGTGGCGAGAGCTTTGCGCCTCTTGAGGAAAGTTACTATGTAGTCCAGCTTCAGTAAAATCATTTGTTGGGTAAAGGTCGAAACGGCATCGGAGGGAGACACGGTAAATTGTAAATAATTCGATCAGTTATGAGCGGTATAGCGGGATGGCATTATTGGATGGCATTATTCTATCAAAAAAAATGTAAATTTAAAGGAACGAATGCAAAATGGTGTTGAGTGGTTTTGCCAGACACCCCACATACCATTACTCATCAAGAAATAGAAGGTTACTCATTTCATTTTGGGCTCTATTCCGACCAGACATTTTGGAAGTCATTGTAAATGATCCAACTTCGATTTTTTGGTCGAAGAATC